AAATCAGACCTTTCCAACGAGAATGAATCTTCCTCGATAAAGAGGAAGATTCATGAGAGAGAGAGAGAGAGAGAGAGAGAGAGAGAGAGAGAGAGAGAGAGAGAGAGAGGGCGTCAGCCAGTGTCTGACGCCAAGTTTGGTGACTTGGCGTCAGACACTGGCTGACGCCCTCTCTCTCTCTCTCTCCCTCTCTCTCTCTCTCTCTCTCTATCTCTCTCTGTGTGTGTACTTTGAAATGAGAATGAATCTTCCGCGATAACGCGGAAGATTCATTCTCACTTCAACGTCTCTCTCTCTCTCATTCTTCCCCCCCTTCCTCCGCCCCGCCGCGCCTGTTTGTTTTAGGCTGTCACTTTCCATTTTCGTCGGGTTTTTTTTTTTTTTTTTTTCGGGTCCCGTTTTTTGAAGCAGGAACCATAGTAGAAGAGCCGATAGTAGTCCACTCTGACAAGGAAAATGAAGAAAGTGGCAAAAAACCTGTGATGAAAACTATGGAAAGGATGGAAGACCTAGTGGGAAAGATGGGGAGATTCCAAGAGAAGTTGAGGAAAGTATGCCGGGAAGTGAACGAGTGGAGAGAAAAGGTTCTCATGGTATTTCTCTATGGGTTAGGACCAGAAGGATTGAGCGAACAAGTGGGTGCGCCTGAAGTTAATATTTTGGGGTCAGAGTTGCGATCAGGGACGACCTTCAGGCCTCCTTCCAAACAAGGGAGAGTGTCTCAAGCAGTACAAACAAGGAGTAAAGGAAGAGCAAGCTCTAGCCAGTCCATACTTGAAGGGCCTGAGCCTAGCAAAGAGAAGGAAACCCTGTAGGTCCCTGACGACGATGATGAGGATGACGATGATAAAGATGAGAGGACGAGAGAAGAGGATGATAGGAGAGCGGATCAGAGGGCGCAAAGGAGGGGAGTCAAGATCAATGGGAATACTACTCTAAGAGAGTTGGCACACAAGAAAAGGAAATACACAGTGAGAATGCAGGAGGGTTTTGACGTGGAAAAAATGATGGATAAGCTTCTAGAGGGCATAACGAGCTACTTAACTTGAAAGATATTCTTAGCTCAGCCCCAAAGCTGCGCAATGAATTAAAAACTCGTTTGTCCCGGAAATCGGTGGCCAACGTACGTCTGGGTATGTTAATTCCAAAGGAAGCTGAGTGGGTGGAAACCGGCACGAAGATGGATTGGAAGTTCACCGTCATAGTCAGCGTGGACGTGATTATAAGGGGGAGGCCTTGTAATGCCATGATTGATACTGGGGCAAAAATAATTTTCATCAAGGAGGAGCATGCAATACGGTTAGGCATGGAGATAGATCGTGCGGATAGTGGGATCCTGATGGGAGTAGCAAGGCAGTCTTCATAGGGACGACCTCAAATGTGGTGGTGGAAATCGGAAAGGTGAAGGTCCAAAGTTGTTTCTTCATAATGCCGGGTGAGGGATGCGGGAGGTCTATCTAATGCAGACGCGCTCTCAAAATCATGTGCGGGAAGACCTATATATCGTCACAAACAGAACTGCCCGGTAAAATCGTAGGCAGAGAGAGAGAAGAGGACAACAAACGAGGGGCTGTGACAAACTGTTTCGTCGGAGTTTCACCGACTCATCAGGGAAGACCTATATATATATATAATTTCGCTTCTAGAGCTATATTCCGGATATGATCAATTTTCGGTATATCTGTCGGATCAGCCCATGACTCCTATGCATACGACTAGGGGGTTAGTTCACATGATATCGCTCCTCAAGGGTGGACTGGCGCAATTGCCATGGTTCAAAGACACATGGTGCATGTAATGCAAACAGTCAGTCCTCATATTACTCGACCATATATCGATGATTTGGTTGTGAAAGGGCCAAAGGAGAAGGACAGGACGAAAGTGCCTGGAGCAAGGAAGTTCGTCTGGGACGACATTCAAGATGTTTGCAAAATCCTAGGCTTGCTGGGGGAGCACAATTTGACTGCTAGTGGGCCAAAGTCGAAGCATCGTATGCAGAAGGCTACGATTTTGGGGTTTGTCTGTGACGAAAGAGGTCGTCACCCGAATGCTAGAAAGACGAACAAAACTCTCGAGTGGCCAACTCCTTTTGGAACGGTCACATAAGTGAGGGGTTTCTAGGCACATGTGGGTTCGAGAGAGCCTTCGTCAAAGAGTTTGCGACAAAAACGAAGCAATTATGAAAACTCCTTCATCATGATCAAGAATGGGAGTGAGGAGAGGAATAAGAAGTGGTGGTGAAAGGATTGAAAGGCGAGTTTAGAAATAGAGGCTTGGTACCGGGGGTGCCTGACTACGCTGCCACTATGACCAGGGCATTCAAATGCTGGTCCTACTGCTTTGGGAGGAATCCTTATTCAGAAAGATGGGAAGGGAGAGGAGAGGCCGTTGAGATTTGAGAGTCGCACGCTAAATACTACGAAAAGACACTATTCGCAGTTTAAGCATGAGACGTTGGCGGTCCCCCACTATCCGCGCATCTTTAGGAATTGCCTGTTCGGGAGGAGGTTTGTGCTGCAAGTCTTGCATGCTCCATCAAGAATTACGTGCCTTCGGATCCGACCATTGCCAGATGGCTTACGTACATCTGGATGTTCGATTTGAATTGGAGCGAATACCTGGAAGCAAGAATAAAGCAGATGGACTGAGCAGGATAAATTGGGACAAAACGAAAGGTCACGAGCATGAGGGCTCACCACCAGTGGATGGCTTCTTGGACAAAGAAGAGGATGTGGTACTCTATCAATGCATGGTCTGCATCTGTGAAGCAGATGGTAACGCCAAGCCAACACATATGGATTACCCCTCAAGGGTACGAACGAAAAGCAGACATTGTCCTCAAACCGTTCGTAGAAGAGGATCCCTGGGGTGAACAAGGAGTTGACTGGATGATGGAGCTAGACCCCGCAGACACTCGAACGTTATGTGAAGAACCTTCCATGATTGAAGACGGACCACTCCAAGCAGAAAGCACAAAAGGCTGATCGGGGGGATGTATGTTCTCGTGAATACTCTAGTCCAGGAATAGGCCTCAAGGATAGACGCTCAGGAGCGTGGGAAAGAAAAGGAAGAAGATCAGGAGGAGGACGAAAAATTAAAAAAAGGGGAAATAAAGGAGGCATTCCGTGAAGACGAGTATGAAGGGGTATCCCTGGAGCTAGGGTTGCTTCTTTCGTCCGAGATAATGGAAAGAGAGGTGAGCCAGAAAGTTCTCAAAATGCGCTTGCATTTCCTGGTACGGGATGACCATCTATTCATGCGGGGTAGAGGAGGCGAACCCGAAAGGGTGATCTGTGGCTGTAACAAACAAATTGATGTCATAGTTGCGCTACATGATGGAAGCGCAGGCGGCCACATGAGTAAGGATGCCACATTTGGAAAGATATATGGGCTTTATTTTTGGGAAGGGATGGGAGACATGATTCTCATGTATTGCGAATCCTGTGTAGAGTGTCAAGAAAGATCGTATGTCAGGTACAAAGAACCACTTCACCCAAGATACGTACGAGAGGTTGGGGATGTGGTTCACTTGGACTTGTTAATGATGCCACTAGGTATGAGAGGGTATAATTATATCTTCGATTCACGAGACAATCTCACGGGTTTTGTAGATGGCAAGGCCATACGCTAAAAAACTGGGGACAGAGGGTCAGAGTTCACTTGTGCTGAAGTTAAGGCGATTCTGAAAGAGTATGGGGTAATCGCGAGATATACAACCACGACACTTTCCCGAGCTAACGCACCAGTGGGAAGAGGGCACAATACACTTACGAACCTTCTCGCCAAGTGGACAGGTGGCAGGCCCAATCAATGGCCGAAGTACCTAAGGGCAACTTTCTTCGTAGAGAACGTGACGGTTAAAGGGACCACGAGGTATGCGCCAACAACACTGCGGTATGGAAGACATGCGACATTCCCAATCGAGAGCTTCCTGAAGACTTGGAGAGGGCAAAACCTAGAGACTACCTTATCATTTGAGGACCTGCTTGACCTAAGAGTATGCCAGATCGAGGCTACAAAAGAGAGGATCAGGGATGCGGTTAACAGTTCAACAGATAGACGCACTGCAGATAAATTCAGGTGGGACCGGATGCTGAGCGTACGAAGGGAGCCATTGAAGGTTGGAGATGTTGTACTGCTGTATGACTCCTCGTTGACGAAGTTGTGGTCCCGAAAGCTCTATAAGACATGGCTTGGACCATACGGAATTGTCCATTGCGGTGACTACGGGGCTTACCAAAGTGAGGAATTGAACGAGATGGCATGGAAGGTCTGGGTGTTGGGAACTAAATTGAAGAAGTTTGCGGCACGAGAAGGGGTAAGCATACGTATGTAAGGTATAATGAGGATAAGATTAGTTAGAAGTCTATTCTGGTTACAGGAAAGGAAGTAGGAAAAATTATTAGTAAGAGGGATGTGGATGGGCTATCTGATATGGTCAATGGTCTGGATGTACATGCTATGTTGAGTTTGTGGCCAGCCCATACTGATATCCTTGTGTGCTCCTCGTCTTCTCTCTCTTGTTCTGCAGGTCTGACTTTACGAAGACAGCCATGCCGAAGGGCGGGAGGAACAAACAACTGCGGGAGGAGCCTCAGGGAGGTTCAGGGGGAGGAGAGCCGTCACGACCATACCAGCGAGCCAGCACTCCAATTTATGACGATGGTAGTTCGGATATGTTCATTGAGCGGTTCACACAGTATGCAGCGGAAAGGGGGTGGTCTACAGAGACGATGATCCAGCATCTAAGAGGTACAAGAGAGATGACGGCGAGGATTGAGGAGTTGCGGACGAGGGGAGGCGACTGGCCGGAGATACAGATGACCCTACAGATGCTACAACCATCACCAGTGGGACCTGACGGGTTACCCATTCGTATGACGGCAGACAATCTGGATGAGTTTTTCCTAGCTTACGAGGAGTATTGCAGGACTGTGGGCGTCATGAAAGAAGAGTACATGAGGATGGTTCCACAATGGGCAATACCTGGGCTACAGAGGGACATTGCACAGATAGGGCGCACATCGCGAGATTGGGAAGATTGCAAGGCCCGGATTAGGAGTGTATGTGGGTTGTTTCAATACGATTCTCCAAGGCCGCGAGTTGAGAGGAGGAGGAGGAGTGATAGAGTACGAGGCACAGAGAGGGGACGAGCTGGCTCTTGCCGACGCAGAGAGGTCATCGATTTGGGAGGCGATAGTCCACCTTCGTCACCCATTCTGGAGACGGAACACGAGGCGGGGCCAGAGGTGAGAGTTGCTCCTGAGCCAGAGCCCGAAATGAGGCCCGTTGTGGAGGCTATCCTCGAGTTGGGAGGCCGTCAAAGGGCAAAGACATTGGAGAAAGCCCAACCCATTGTGGATTTGCAGGAGTTGGAGGCCTATTTGGAGCCATCACAGTGGCCGTTGTCACGGGCCGTTCCTTCCCCTGCATCAGGCGCTGCTCCTAGCAGTGTGGAGGGTCAGGAGCAAAGACTTGTGCCCAAATCCGAGGAGGCACGAGATCCAGCGATTAAGGGTGAGGAAGTTTGGCAGACAGAGGCAAGTAGGGTGATTGACGCACATTTTGTGGTTGAGGTTGGAACGACGGCGGACGTTGTTGAAACACCATCAGCAGATCCGCCCAGGGCGGGGGCTCGCATTGAGCCAATGGTACATGAGGAGGCCGCAGGACGAGCCGCTCATCCGACAAGAGAGAATCCAGAGGAACATCAGGCCAGGGTAACGACGAGACTTGAGGAGTTGGAAAGAGAGAGAGACAAACAGGAGGCAACTGGGATACTACCGAACCCACCGGTAGATAAAGGGCCACAAGAGAGAGGAGTGGATGCGATTTGGGCTGGATGGCAGAGGCAGAGGGACGCAGATCGTCAGGAACCCCAGGACTCTGAGTCCACAAATGCGAGGCTGGATCGTCAGAATACGTTGTTGGATTCTGCCTTTACAGCAGCGAGGGGAGCAGATCGGGGTTTGGACGACCAGACACGTTGGCTCGCGACGACCTCCTTCGACAGATACTCGATGTTGAGTGCTGAGTTGGTGGCGGAGAAGCTAGAGGTGGAGGATCTGGCCAGACGATTGGAGAAGGCAGAGGTAGAGAACAAGGAACAAAAGGCGGCTTCTCAAGCAAAAAAAGTCGAGTGGGAGAGAAGACTTCGAGAGGTGGAGGCTAGGATGGAGAGATTCCAATCAACCACAGTGGTAGACCGGACTGAGTAGAGCAGATATGGCATCCAGGGTCAGGCGGTGCAGAGTCTCTTTGCACAACAAGAGGAGATGGCGTCATCCCAACAACAAGGTTTGGGCAGAGTGATTATGGATCCGGATAAGGCTCGGGTGCAGAGGGGAGTTTAGAGTTCAGAGCCCCCACGGAGCTAGCTTCTCAGAGGCTGACGCGTACGATGCAAGAACTCGCCATTGAGGAACTGGCTCGTTCTTCTATGTCGGAGCCGGCTGAGAAACCTGAACAAGGAACAAAAGGCGGCTGCTCAAGCAAAAAAAGTTGAGTGGGAGAGAAGACTTAGAGAGGTGGAGGCTAGGATGGAGAGATTCCAATCAACCATTGTGGTAGACCAGACTGAGTAGAGCAGATATGGCATTGAGGGTCAGGCAGTGCAGGGTCTCTTTGCACAACAAGGGGAGATGGAGTCATCCCAACAACAAGGTTTGGGCAGAGTGATTATGGATCCGGATGAGGCTCGGGCGAAGAGGGGAGTTTCAAGTTCAGAGCCCCCACGGAGCTAGCTTCTCAGAGGCCGACGCGTACGATGCAAGAACTCGCCATTGAGGAACTGGCTCGTTCTTCTATGCCGGAGCCGACTGAGCAACCTGCCCATGAACCAGCGAGAGGAGATGAGAGAAAGCTTACTGAGGGGTCCTTGGACAGGTTATTGGGGGTCCCTGTTGAGAGGTTGACACCGCTGCCCATCTTTACCACAATCAGCGCGCCTACCCATGAATCATAGACAGAGACTGCACAGGGATCGACTGAGAGGTAAGAGGAGATATTGTTGGGGATGCCGCGAGGATGGCCAGAGATTGAGGCAAGCCCTACGCCAGCTACGGAGAGGAGTGTGCAGTTGTCAAAGAGGGAACCTCCTGAGCCAGCCTTTGCAGTTACTATGGATGTGGATGTTCCCCTGGAGAGACCATAGATTCTGGATACCCCTGAGTATGTACCAAAGATCAGTGGGTTGAGGGGAGAGTTGGGTTCTTGGGGTACAGAGTCTGGTTCTAGAGGTCGGGTGATTGGACAGCATGAGCAGGGTGTGAGTGGGGCTGCAACACCTGAGATGAGAGGGGCATCTCAGCAGCAGGCTACTAGCCAAGGTGCGTGATACCTCGTGCTTCTATTGCCCAGAGAGGGGACCTCATCGGGCTTTGGAATGCCCCAAGTTTATGAAGGACAAGGCTGCAGGAAAGGTGGTGGATGACGAAAGTGGAGAGATCACAGGAAGGAGGAATAGTTCAGTTGTATAGACAGATCGGTGAGGAGATGAGTGAGTGAGGGTTTGTCTATAGGGTCCAGAAAGGGAATTGTATTGTTAAAATACTCATCTGGCTTAGTTTGGACGTCGTCCTGGTTAGAGGATGTATATAGGACATTATTCTAGGACTATCGAGAGGCTCAGAGAGGGTGAGTAGCAGTGGAAGGGATAGGGATTCTGAGTGTGTTTGATTTGTGACTAAAAGACTGGATTAGCATCCAGGCTGCACTAGGATTGTATCATACCTTTCCCATGCTGTTATTAACAGTTGTGTGTTGTTACACAAGTGTGGTGTGGTGTGGATTAGGATAGAAGGCGTGGTGTGTATGCGTATGAGACCTTCTAGGTTCAAGTGCGAAATGAGAGAGTCTCGTGTATTCTGAGACGATTTAGGCAATTTTGATTCAAGCATTGAGATCATTTATCCTCTTTCCTTTGAGGTTTGTGTGATATATGAGGATTTTTCTTGTCACAAGACTTCTGAATTTGTATTGTATGAAGATTGTATGTGGCTCAGATGAGTGGTATTTTGTTATGTGACACAAGTAAATAAAGATTTGTATCGCATGCCTCCTACCTAGACTTGCGTCAGCTTGTTGAAAAGACAGGCAATTGCTTGAAGTATAAGTAAGAGAGATGCGATCATACCTGGGTAAATGTACGAGAAATTTAATTGTCAAAATGAATGTGATGTTGATACAAATGATTGTTCGCGAAAACTGAGATACATTAGGGGGACCCAAAAGGGTGGTCACTCCAAAGAGTCAAAGTTAATTTGTGAGTTCCTTGGAATAGGGAACTTAGTGATATTCTTGAGCGATATAATAAAAATGAATGTGTGACAGTATGATGAGTAAAACCAAAAAGTTCAGTGTGAAATGAATGTGATATTGTTTGAAAAATCGAGAGGTTGTTCTTCGGATGTGCGGCCTACTCCATCTTGATCAAAGTGGGGAGTGTCCACTATGACGTCAATCTGGGAACAATATATGGAGGCCCAGCTAAGGGGCTAAGCTTGGTATCATTGGGACGCAACTTCCGATGTTGGCTGCTGACCGACGCAACCTGGCAGCGGGCCCACGACTTATCAAAGGATTAAAACCTGACGGGTAGGCCACCCTAAAGGTTATAATTCTGCAAGAAGTGGGCGAGATTGAAACAAGCTTTGAGTCAAAATCCTTATGGATACCAAGATAGATATGGATTGCTTATCGTTGCACAACCAACGAGAGCACCATCACTATATAACAACGCGATGGGCCGTAGACTTGGCTTGATCAACCAATCTATGGTGCTAGACTCCAAGGTGGGCGTTGTGTGGATTCTGAGATTATAATGGATAGGCCAGTACTATTTGGCACAAATGCCTATGAGACTCAGAAAAATCTCGTTTACGACCCACGTCTGACCTTGATCTCGTACGCGAGGCCAAGGCAATAGACACCCAAGGAAAAACCGGATGATGTCTAGGGCGAAGGGAGAGGGGCACCAACTGTTACTCGAGAGGGAAGCTCAAGCAGTAGTACTGATCAAGTATCCCTGCGATCCGAGGCCGGGATTGAGGAGACCCAACTTGAAACCCTGACAATTTTGAATCGTATCAAGGATCAGTTGGGTGAGCCACTCAAACGGAGTCGAACCGGTGGATCGGATTGGTTATCTTCTCGTCAGCCAAGAAATGTTGTGTTTTGAAATAATTGATTATTCGACGCGACGGGACGCCGCTTAATAGAGTCCGGAAACATGTTGGCTTGAATACCCTTACAAGGGTATTCACAGGTATATTTGCACTTCGCACAAGTTGCACCTGAGATGGTATAAGAAGTAAGAACTTACGTAAGTATTGTGCAGCCCACACTCGACTTTTCGTAGCCGGACAACGGGGCGCGCGAGGTGAGATTAGAGGTGTGTGTGGACACGCTAGTTTAAAGCGCAAGTGATTTTTCCTGAGCCGGATAAAGTTCGGTAAGATCGGGGTTGGCATGGTGGGTGACGAGTAAGTGTGGGCCGTCCGCGGAGCCGGCACCTGCACGATAGGAAGGCGGCGGTTTTTGCAGTCAAGAACTCGACGGATAGGCCAAGTGCGGACTTGCGGTCTTTCCATAGGGTTGTGTGGTTGGCTGAATATATTTACAAGGCTTTTCAATAGTGCCAATGCTAGCCTTGGGCATAACACTATCGGTTACGATGCTGGATTTTCAGGGAACAAATTCGGGGATCGTGGCCAGTGACCGGTGAGAATGGAGCAGCGCAACATCCTGAAGAAAGCTCCCTTGGCTTTTGCTGTCGACTTTGGCAGCAGGTCGGATAGGCGTGACCAAGGGGGGTGCCAATGGTCCCCATTCTTCCCAAACCCCGTTTTCCATTTCGTATTTTTTTTTCGTTTTATTATTTTTTTTTAAAGACCGGTCCCGGTACCGATATCGATATCGGTCGTAATATCAACGAGCCAAGTTTCGCTGCTACACCCCTGAGCTGTTGAAGCATGGACCTGAGATTGAAACCCGCGCGGAGGCTGTCACGACATTGGGGTCGCCCTTTGTTTGACTGCCCCATCTGGTTTCTGAGGGTTCGGGGTGCTGGCAGAATCCCTGTATTTTGTCTGCCTTGAAACGCGAACCAATAAGTTAACATGCATGCCGACCACAAGTGCTTAGCCGTCAGAGGAGAAGGAGCTTGAGTGGCAGAACCCTTTGCAGACATACTCCGCCACTTGCGAGCTGCTGTGTGAGCCGTGGGAGTGAACATGCCCGTTGGAACTCGAAAGGTGACGGGCTGTGCCGGAAAAGGGCAACCGGGGACGTTGGGGAAGGCACGCAGCAGTAGCCAGCTGGTCGCATTTGACCCCTTTCCCCACTTCGGTCTCCAAAGTTCTCATTTGAATATTTGCTGCTGCCTCCAAGATCTGCAAGGGTATCCAATCCATCTAAGCTCACACTGCATGCTGCGCAGCAGGCCCTGTGTTCTCCTCCTTATCGCGATGTTAGAATGGCCATGACTGTCGAGCACAGGTCGCACGTCTCAGCGCCATCCATCCTCGGGGCTGACTGATTTGCCAGGTAAGCTGTTACACACTCCTTAAAGAATTTCAATTTCCACGATCACTGTCCTGTTGTGGGTATAGGGGCTAAAGACCAATTGAACAGTATAGGTGTTGGTCCCATCCGAAGTCTCCCTCAGGATAGCTGGGACTGTAGCCTTGAGAACAGCCGTAGGGTTGGGGACTTACCTGCCACGTGAGAGCAGCCGCAGGTTGAAAAACTTATCTGTTAAGTGAGAGAGCAACCGCGAGGGCTTGCCTGTTGGCCCGGTGCGCTGCTCATTGTATCGATGGAAGTGGCGTGAGTCCAGCTGAGGGGTTAAAGACTTACCTATCGGTCGGTGCATTGTTCGTCCTATCGGTGGAAGGAGCTTGAGGCGGGCGCGAATCAGGGACTTACTTGACAACCGGTGCGTTGCTCGTTCAGTCAGTGGAAGTAGCGTAAGGCGGGCGCAAAGTTGGAGACTTGCTTGTTGATTGGAGTGTTGCTTATCCTATCGATGGAAGTAGCATGGGAAGAGCTGAGAGGTTGAAGACTTACCTATTGATTGGAGCGTTGCTTATCCTATCGATAAAAGTAGCGTGAGGCGAGCCGAGAGGTCGGAGACTTCCCTGTTGATTGGAGTGCTGCTTATCCTATCGATGGAAGTAGCGTGAGGCGAGCCGAGAGGTCGGACACTTACCTGTTGCCCGGTGCACTGCTCATCCTAGCGATGGACGTGGCGGGAGTCCAGCCGAGGGGTTGAAGACTTACCTGTCAGCCGGTGCATTGCTCGTCCTATTGGAGGAAGGAGCGTCAGGCGGGCGCGAATTGGAAACTTACGTGCTGGCGGGTGAATCTTCCCACTTTTTGCGGAAGATTCATTTTGATTTTGGTCATCCGATCGAAGGAGGTAGCGGGAGTCCAGCCGCGAAGTTGGAGGTAGCGGGAGTCCAGCCGAGAAGTTGGAGACTTACCTGTGGAC